AGTGACCTTAGATTGACCCCGGAACTGGCTCCACTCAGAATCCAGGCTTCAGTGAGCAAATTCCTTAGCAGTAACCACATTAAAGAATCCAGTAAATCCATCTCCCTGGTGAACCACAAATCCGACCTGAAAAGAATCAGAGAATACGGCCTCGCTGGTGCCTCAGAGCTGCTTATGCACACCATGGCCGTGAGCAAACTGCTTCACTGTAATCAGCTGAAGCCCTAAGATGTTCGGATTTCTCCAAAAATGATAGCTGGTTTTAGCCCTACCGGCTGCTCAACAACACCCTGAAAATTCCCAGTGACTGCTTTGGGTCTAAGCCATCCACCTAATTAATTTTCAGTGTCAAGCAGAACATGGAAAAAGGGTCGAGTGCTCTCAGAGTCATGGCTTGAAATCCAAAATTATTCTCAGATCTCAGAGTGCTTACTCAGACTGACTCTCCTCCTCACAGTTTGCGACACAATCTGTAGTAGGTCGTTTGCTTCTCTCTATTTTTAGATCACAAAATAAAATACAACCGCACCCAGAGGCAAGGGTGCTGCAGAAGTTTCCGCTTCCTTTGCAACAGTCTTAGACCTCACCTGTCCAGCTACGCTGACCTAAGCACAGTAGAGGGTCACTTCTATCATCAGCTACATCCAGACGAGCCCTCCTGCCTTTCTTCCTCCTTATAAATCCTCCTCTGGAGTATAAAATGTTTCACCACATTTAAAATTAAAGTTGTGTCACTTAATAGTTCCATGGATTTAAAACTGAAATTGCAGCCCTTGGCCCAACTGATTTACTTTGCTTCAATCTTTGTGGCATCTTCCCAGGGTCTGTTGTTTATACCGTATAGCCAAAGGTTGTACTGATAGCAATCTGTCTTTCCTTGTTTAAAAAGGTAATAGATCCCATGATAAGATGATCCCTTTGGTTCATTATTACACATCACAGTGCAATGTTTAAGATAGCTGCTTCCTTGTGTCACAAAATATAGTCCTTTAGAGTTTCAATAAAATTACCAGAACAAAATCGTTTAAACCTTCTGTTTTTATTCTATATTTGTTTCATCTCCTTGCCAAGTTCATACAGGGGAAAGAAAGAATACTGCAGAACATAAAAATTCACATCACAATAATGACAATGATGACATTGATACTAATTAGCACTTGACCTCTTTCTCTGCTCTAAAAACACTGCTAAGTCTTTTGTAGGCTTAATCATGTCAGTTAATCTTCACCGTAACCCAAAGCGAAAAGGACCATTTCCATTTTTTAAGTAAGAAAGACAAATTTTAGAGAAGTGATATATTTTCACTGTCACACAGGAGGAAACCGATAGTGCTGAATGATTTTCCTTTAACCTGAGAGCAAATTTTAGTCAGATCACCCGACTAAAAGCAGAAATCATATACAGCAAGGGAAAATCAAAGGAATAAAAGTTATCAAGCATATAGCATATAAATTAATGACCTAAATATAAGAACTAATACCATAAAACTCTTAGAAGAAAGCATAGGGGCAAATCTTTAGAATCTTGAATTTAGCAGTTGATTCTTAAGTATGTCACCACAAGCACAAACAACCAAAAGATAAATAAATAATTCACCAAAATTATAAAAAAACCAAAAAGACTAAACTTTTGTGCACCAAAGAACATTATCTAGAAAGTGAAGACAGCCTATAGAATAAGAGAAAATATTTGTAAATCAGATATCTGATAAAGGTCAGACTGTCTGTCCAGAATTTACTGCTATGAGGAACTTTAGAATTCCTACAATGCAACAACAAAAAGACAAAAAACAAGCTAACCAAAAATATGAGCAAAGGGCCTGGACAGACATTTCTCCAAAGATATACAAATGAACGACGGACAACAAGCATATAAAAATGATTAAAATGGTAAATTTTAATTATGTACATTTCATATGCCCCCACAAAAAATACTGCTCTCTTTTAAAGAAAGTCATTCACAACCTGCATCTACAGACCAGACTACTCTTGGGAAATCCAGACATGAGTTTCTGCTGCTAAAACCACAAATTCAAGTCCAACGTTGATGTCATTCTTCCACCACGACTAAGTTCCCGCTGGGTTGGAAAAGTCCACTCCTTGTTCTCTCTCCTATAAGCCTTGTCTCCACAATAGCAGCTCCACAGTTAAGCTCAGATCATCTCTGAGTCTTTCTTCCTCACTCCTACAACCAACTAACTCTCAAGTTTTGGTTTTGTTTAAATTTTTTTCTCCCAGAAATTCTGGATATATCTTGAATTTACTTCTTCCTTTCCATTCCTAGGGCCACAGTCTTTGTTCAAGACCTCACTCTCCCTCCCTCACCAGGATGATTCTAGTAACTTTCTGCTTAGGCTATCAGCCTTTAAGAGCCCTCTGCAAGAAGTCACCTCTCTGTGTGCTGTTTAAGTTCAGAATATCCTTTAGCATTTGCTCACATTACAGACCTGACCATTTTTCTTCCTTTAAAATATGTCTTCAGGGGCCAAGGATATAGCTCAGCAGTGCAGAGCCTGCCTGGCAAGCGTGAAATCCTGAGTTCGATTCCCAGTACCCAAAAACAAAAAAATGTTTTCATTCCCCTTAGAATAAAGTCCAAACTTGCTTGCATACAAGACTAGCTCTTGACAACTAGTTCCCAAGCAGTGTTACATACACTCACTGCACTCAACTCCACCCGTGCTGAGCTTTCTCTACCCCAGCCGCATTCCTCTCCCTTCCCACCTCCATAGTTTGCTGTAGGGCTCAGTCTTGGTGTCACAGCTCCTGTGGGTTTAGACAAATGTATAATGGCACGTGCCCACCGCTGTAAAATGACAGAGCATTTATACTGCCCTAAAAATCCTCCATGTTTGCCTATCCATCCCCTACCTCCCCTTACCCCACCCTGGCCTTGGAACCACGGATCATTATATTGTGTCCATAATTTTTCCTTTCCTAGAATGTCATATAGTTGGAACTATATAGATTTAACCTTTTCAGATTGGCTTGGTTCACTTAGCTGCATACATTTAATATTCTCCTATGTCTCTATACGGCATAATAGCTTATTTATTTTTAATTGCTGAGTAATGCTCCATTGGCTGGAAGCACCAATGGTTTATCCATTCACCTACCGAAGAACAGCTTGGGTGCTTACAAGTTTTGGCGATTACGAATATGGATGGTATAAACATAGGTGTATGGGTTTCTGTGTAGGCATAAGTATTTATCTCCTTTGAGTAAATGCCAAGGATGGCAACTGAAGAATTATATTGTACGAGGATGTTTAATTTTGTTAGAAATGGCCATATCTCTCCCAAAGTGACTGTGCCATCCTGCATTCCCAACAGCCAGCACATTGGGCATTTGATGTTGTCAGTGTTCTGGACTTTGGCTATTCCAAAGGGGATGTAGAGCAGTGGTAATGCATTGTTTTAATTTATGTTTCTCTGATGCCAGGTGATATGGAACATCTTTTATGCTTATTTGGCATTTTGTGTATCTTCTTTGGAGAGGTCTGTGTTCAGGTCTTTGGTGCATGTTTAAATCAGGTTGTTTGTTTTCTTATTTTGAATTTTAAGAGTTCTTTATGTGTTTTGGGTAATGATTCTTTGTCAGATATATCTTTTGCAAATTTTTTCTCCCTGTCTGTGGCTTGTCTGATTATCTGAGGGAATGTGTTTGATTTTAACTTAATATAAAGATCACTCAATATCTCCTAGAATTTCATTATTAGCTGACCCAAGGCCATAAATAGTAATGTATTCTACGTTTATTGAGCACCTATTATAGACCATAAGGATAACAAATACTCAAGTATAGCTGACCTGTGACCACCAGAATCAAAGCATCTCTGTAAATACAGCAAGTTTAACTAACTGAACCAGACATTTTACCTGTGTTTATATGCAATACTCTGTCTCAGGCTGTCTCAGGTAATTTAAATTTTTTAAGTGTCAGCATACTTGAGGTGTCTCTCATCATGCACCATAGTTATAATCCCTAGTGTTCCCCCAAGAAATGTATAATACAGTGAGGTAGGTAGGTGCATTGCAAATAAATAGGCTGTATGGTAGGACAGAAAAAGCACAGAATTGAGTCATAGCCAATATTAACTACCTGTGGCCTTAGGGAAATCAGTTAATCTGTCCTCAATCTTGGCTCAATAAACTAGCTGAACTAGAATCTCTGGATAGTGGGTTTTTCATAGATAAGTGTACTATAACCTTTGTGTGTACTGACGGCCAACACAGCCTTTCCTGCAGCTGGTAACAGTTGGAGTCAGAGTGACTGGAAGAAAAAGACTGGATAAAGCGATTTCCAAGTTGAAAGTCCAGCTTTGGCGAAATCTCTTAACATAGGATGGGGAGAACATGATCAAGTCAAGCCCATGCTTGAAAAGTTTTGTTCAGTTTTATGAAATTCAAGAAAAGTTAAGAGCAGTGTTGACCATTAAGAAAAGAAGCAACTTGCTTGAAAGGGCACCTAGCAAAGGGAAATTTCACTGCTTGGCTGAGGTACCTGGCAGGAGATGTGATAAAGCACAGCTCTACTTTCCCACCTGCCATTCCTACCATCTTCCTTCTCCACAAAGAACCACAGGAGGTAGGCGTTGTTCTGCTTTTTTGACTTTGCTGACTGTTACAGCATTTGCTTAATAATATTATTTGTAATTTTTACTTTCCCATATATTTCACTTTTTGGAAAAATGCTTCCAAAATATCTAACAAAACAATGTCCTGAATGATGTACCCCAAAACTTTTAAAGTGAGAATACTTATACGACAGCAATTTGACACTGACAAATAAATATGTTTCTCATGGATTCAATTAAATAGCAGACAGAAAAAAAATCCTTTGAAAGATAAATACATCGGGTGCTTCCTGCCAATAAGGGACACAACTTCCTCATTGTTGTTAATGAAAAATAATACATACTTTCTAAAAAGAAAGAAAACACTCATGAGTCACCTATTTCCACATTCGGGACTGAGAAGCTATAAATTTCTCCAGCCTCTAGCATTAAACTTCAAACCAATCATAGGCCTGAGAACAGCTGATGGTAGCTATGCTGCTCACCCTGCTGTGGGCCGTGTGTCTGCTGCCCAGCTGCCTGGCCCTGCCGCTGCCCCCGGAGGCGAGAGACACGAGCGACCTGCAGTGGGCAAAGGCACAGGTATGTCGCCGTCCACTCACCTGGGGCTCGGGGGCCTCGCCCTCAGCATCGGAACTGTGTGTCTCGGTTATTTTCTCCTTCCACGCCAGGCTTGCAATGAATTTTCTTGTCTGGAGTGTCTCTGCTTATAAAGGCAATTACGTTTTCATCAAGTAGCCATTCAGAGCAGACTTTAGTGTCCCTCCACACAGTTTTAGGAATCTTTTTAAGCATCTTCCAACTTGGAAGGTGAAGATAATAATGATGCCACCGAACGGGGGTGTTAAAAGCATTTAACACACCACCCGCACGTTGTTCACACACAATACATTGAAGTTTTATTATTATTTATTGCAACTTGGAATTCTTTTCCTATGTGAGCTCTTAAGATGAGAACTATTTGTACTGGAGAGGTTCCAAAGTCAGCAACTATGGCTAGAAGTTACAACTTTGCCACAAGTCAATGATGCTAGGCAAAGCTTAATTTCTGAGTTGGTTTTCTCGTGTGTTCCATAGGCGTAATATGTGTCCTATACCATACAGGATTATTCCAGTGAGCAACATGAGGATACCAACTAATATGTATGTTAACAATTACTGGTTATAAAATACCTGCATGTACACGGTGGCATTTACTCTGTAACTCCATCCTGAGGAAAACAAAGGAGAAATGGAAGCTGTTGGTTCACTTTCTTCTAAGTGATAGAAGAATCAAGACAGGTTTTCTAGCTCAAAGATAGTATTTTTATTTTTTCCAATACATTATGTACTAAATGATTTAATAAACATAAAAACTTACTATTTTGTAGAATAATAGCGCAATTACTCTTAAGTAGTATGTACAAATCTAAGCTTTAAGCATAAGAAAAATCAATTTTTATTTCACATTAACTTGGATTTTTTAAAGGTTCAATATTAGATTAGATTAAACTGTATGAATTACCAATATATAGCTTTTTTTACATCCAAAACAATAATTTTTACCTGACTAATCGGTTCTCCAGCAGGAGCTCACTGGCAAGAGTACTGAGCCCCTTACTTAGCATGCAGATTGCCAACAGCTAGAAAGAGGTTAGTTCGGCTTTGATGAAAGACAAGAAAGTTAATCTCAAGAATGCAGAGACATTTCTTCCATTTCTTTGTAAATTCTGTGGCTCTGGAAGGGATAAAATCAGTTACTTGTTTTTAAATAAAGAATTAATTTGTAATTGTCATAGATGGACAGTATTTACGTACTGAATGAAACACAATCATTGCTAACAAGTAGAGAAGACATAATATTAACAAGAGTATTTATGTAAAATACATTGTCCTGACAGATTCTCAGACAAATAATAACTAGTGTCCACTCCAATACTGACTGCAGATTAGCGAGCCGATGTTTAAATCATTTCAACAACAATATGCTCACGCATTCTATAAGCCTATGCATTCTAAATTCTATGCATTTTCTAATAAAATGACTTTAGAACAAGAACACAAGTGTTTTGGGGGTGATCTTATGTAAGTTATTTCACTTCTTTGAGTCATGTTTCTTTATATAGAAAACAGAAGTAGCAATGCCATAGCTGCTTCACAGAATGGTTGAAATTACCCAACACTAGTACGTGGTTTTAAAATGTTCTTATAGTTTTGCAGCCAGTATTAGTTCTTAATTTATTTTTATATATTCTACCTGTTGGGTTCCCATTCTCACCTCTAGACACTAAGAAACTCTAAGAAAAAAAAAAAAAAGAAAGAAATTCCCCAGGATTCATTTGTCCATGGAATAGGTACGGGAAGACCTGCTTTATTCTGCCACCTCCAGAAGTGGCTTTACTAGGTATTTAAGGATGAAAAGAGGGACTAGTGTTGGAAAAGACAGAGCAAAGGAAAAGAAAAACTTGGAGTCAGGTATTCAGAATGAGTTCTATTAACTTCATATATGGACCCCAGCAAATCATTTGGAGGCTGTGAGCTTTGATTTCTTGACCTAGACAATTCAAACTAATTAAAGTAGCAATACCTCCATGTCCTTTCCCAGGCTGAAGTGTTAACACTCTTTAATCTTTAGCTGAACCAGAGCTGAGCAGGATCTTAGATGGGCTGGTGGACTCCAGATCTCCTCACAGAGCCTACAATACCAAGGAGGTCTTTTTTTTTTTTCAAAGATATTTTTTATGGAAAAAAGATAAGACAAAATTTCATTACAGGGGCTGGGGATTTAGCTCAGCAGCAAAGCGCCTGCCTGGCAAGCGCAAGGTCATGAGTTCGGTTCCCGGTACCGGAGAAAAACAAAACAAAAAAAAATTTCATTACAAAATAATAGGAGAATAATAATAGTTAACACATGTTGTTATCTTTAAAGTAGTCGTGCAGGGTACAAGATAGGGTGGGTGAAAGGGGAAAGGAGAGTAGGGGAAGCACGCAAGTCAGTTATACTATCAGAGTCTCTTAGATCATTACAAAGGAAGGTTTGTGCTAATATCAATTGGAGACATTTTTATCACCAAGGGCGTCTTGATGTGGCTCTTTGAGGTGCACTGGGATGTTCCTCCTGATCGTTCTAGGAATAAAACCAGGCACTGTACAGTGTGTGTTGTGTTTCTCCTCAAAAAATGTTGATGGGTAGAAAGATAAACAGAAGGGTTTTTTCTCTTTAGCTTATGAAATAGCACGCTAATGCTTCATTAACAATATTACTTTTCTCTTCACTAGTGCATACTTATTTTATTAAGTGACTATATAATTATCCTGTCTTCAAATCAGTATTTGAATCCTCAAGCACCAGAGGCAAAGGATGTAAAGACTTCTGAAATAAAAGAAGACAATAAACAAGAGTTATGTACTTTCTTTTTAATAGGACTACCTCAAGAGATTTTATCTCCTTGACTCAGAAAGAAAGGATGCCAACAGTTTCAAAGACAAACTCAAGGAAATGGAGAAGTTCTTCCATCTACCTATAACAGGGAAGTTAAACCCTCGCATCACAGCAATAATGCAGAAGCCCAGATGTGGAGTGCCAGACGTTGCAGAATATTCACTATTTGCAGAAAAGCCAAAGTGGACTTCCACAGTTGTCACTTACAGGTTAGTTTTGCTTTGACTAATTCAGCAAGAACGGTCAAGCCCCTTTACTAAGAGAATAACTATTGTTTCCTTGTTTGCTACTAGAATTGTATCCTATACTCCAGACTTACCACAGAGCAGAGTGGATGAAATAGTGGCAAAAGCGTTAAGCCTGTGGAGCGAGGAGATCCCACTGAGCTTCAGGAGAATTCGGTTTGGAACAGCTGATATAGAGATTGGCTTTGCCAGAGGAGGTAAGGATGATTGCTGCAGGCTAAGCCTGTGCGCTCTACTTGTTTGTTGTGAATGTCAGCGCTGTCCTCTTCTAGAAACTTGCCAACTTTCACGGGGGCTGAAGCTGTACCTCAGAATTACACCATGCGCTTCTCATGCACAGAGCTCTGGTTTCACTTCCCAGCACCGCCAAAGAAAAGGCCCTTTAGTGAGATTTATAGGGATAGAAATATTACACATAGTAAAGGGATAAAAATTTTTTGAATTGGTTACATTAGAGCCACTTTTTATTGGAGCAATTGGTAAACTATAACTTATGACCCAAAACCAGCTCACCATGAGTTTTTGGAAATAAAGTTTCACGGAACGGAGCCATGTCCCTTCCCTTACCTGTTGTCTTAGGCTCACTTTCAGATGGGCTACAACTGTGATAGAGCCCCTCAAGTGCACAAAGCTTGAACTACTTATTAGCTGGCCCTTTATAGAAAAAAATGTACAAGCCCCAATTTTGTTACATGAATTATTACATATATAATATCAATTATATATATATATATATGTTTAAAATTAGCTAATATCAACATTAAAGTAAGAGAAGGTGTTACAGCTTCCAGAAACTTCAAATGACTTCCAGAGGTGGGATAGCCTCTATGGCCTGTTGCTAATGTCTTTCTTTTTTTTTTTTTTTTGGTTCTTTTCTGGTACCGGGAATTGAACTCATGACCTTGCGCTTGCCAGGCAGGCGCTGTGCTGCTGAGCTAAATCCCCAGCCCCTGCTAATGTCTTTCATATAGCAAGAAAATGGAAAGTAGAGATGTTTATATTAAGAAGAGTGTAGGTATATAACACAAATACAAGCTGCTCTTCACTGCTAGGGTTTCCTGGTACAAATTTAGGGGGAAATGTTTTCCACTGTGTTCTGTTCTGATATTGAACTGCCTGGGTACTATGAATTTAGCCAAAACTTGAACTTGACCCCATGATATTAGCAATGCTGAAGAAAATGCTCTGGAGAGCATCAACAACAGCACTACAGGATTTTCAAGTATTAGATAAACTGAATACAACCTGATGCCCACCTGAAGATCAATAGTTCTACAATGCAAATAGAAGGACTATTAAAATCCACTTTAAGAGATCTTGGGCCAGGGATACAGCTCAGCGGCACAAGCGCCTGCCTGCCAAGTACAAGGTCCTGAGTTCAATTCCAGGTACCGAAAACAAAAGAAAAAGAAAGAGCCTTTGGGCCGGGGATATAGCTCAGTGGCATAAGCACTTGCCTGGCAAGCCTGAGGTCCTGAGTTCGATACTCGGTACCAAAAAAAAGAAAGAGACCTTGAGCATGGTTCTGTAAGAGGCATCTACTATGCTCACAAGCAATAAGCTAATTTTCCAGATAAATAAACAGGAAAGGATACACAGATTACTTGCTTGAAAGTACTACTCGTGCTGGGCATGGTGGCTCATGCCTGTAATCCCAGCACTCGAGAGGCTGAGGCAGGAGGATCGCTGAGAGTTCAAGGCCAGCCTGGGCTACAAAGTGAGCTCAAGGCCAGCCTGAACTTCATAGCAAGACCCTTCTCAAAAAGAAAAAGAAAAACGAAAGAAAGAAAGCACTACTCACACTCATTCTGCTCCCACTGACCAAACAAAACAATCAGATTTAACAAACACTGAAATGTAACCTAGGGTTAGATACGATGCACTTAAAGTCCTGAAGGCCATAAGCCTTCAATACATGGTGTTTAGCAGTCGTGAGTAGTGGTTCTAATGAAAGAAAATAGGCGGCCAAACTACCCTTTGTATGCAGCTGGCTGCTGGCACCAACAATGTCAAATACTTGGACAGAGGTGTTCTTTCTAACCGCAACAGCATATAAAATAAGAAGATGGAATAACTACTGAAAAATTCAACCACTACAGAAAATTGTCCCATTTTCTTGCAGCTCACGGTGACTTCCACCCATTTGACGGACCAGGAAACGTTCTGGCTCATGCCTTCCCACCTGGGCCAGGCTTAGGAGGAGATGCTCACTTCGACAAGGATGAACTCTGGACCGACGGCAGCAGACTAGGTATAGTGTCCCACGCCTGTTCTACTACGCAGCCTTTTTAAAACCCCAAACTCAGGGCTGGGGATACAGCGCAGCAGCAAAGCAGCACAGCACCTGCCTGGCAGGCATAAGGCCCTGAGTTCAATTCCCAGCACCAAAAAAAACAAAAAAAACCCACAAAACTAAAATCCCAAACTCATGCTAATTCTATTGATTTAATTTATGTACTTACCAAGACTTAGGGGGTTAATAATATTCCTTAGTTATTGTGGGCTGATCAGGTCCACAGTCTCCCCAGTGAGTGTATGAAGAAGGCTAAATAAAAAGAGGTGGATGGAATGATTTCAGGGCTCCAGCAGGATCAAAGCCCTCTCACAGAAGTCAAGACTCTTTCGAGGCTAAGACCAAAACATTTCTGGGTGGCTCGTATTTATTTGGTTATCAGAAGAAGGGAGGAGTGAGATCCCTGAGGCTTAGTCTTTATCTAGTTGAGATCAGCTCCAGGTGTCCTGGGCTGTGATCTTGTTTTATCCTTTGAGGCTTTCCAGCTTCATCCACCATTACAGGTTTTAGTAGGGATCAGTGACTCACAGAGGTTCACTTACTATGAATCTGTCACCCACTTCCAGACAAGCAGCCCAGGCTTTGGAGAGATTCAAAAGTAAACATAAGAAGCCAGTTGTATAATTTAAGTCCTGCTCAGGGCTGCTTCCTTGTGGTCTCCATCAAAGACTTTAAGTGTCAACCACTGTACTATGTGCTTGAAACGCTGCAATCTTATTTAATATACTTGTTATAAACACAGAAAATGAATGCTCAGGCTATAAGCCCAGCAGCATTGGGTTCAGTTTGCTGTCTCTACCAGTTACCTTGAGGGAGTCATTTCACTTCTCTGAGCCTCAATTTCTTCTCTGTGAAGTGAGAATAGTAATAGTTTCCATCTGAAGTGTTGCTTAAATTAAATGAGATAATGGCTTTCATGGTGCTTTAGCATCATGCTTGGAATATATTAATAACTCAACAAATTATCACTATTTCTTTATATTTCCTAAAAATAAATGTGTCAAATGGAAAAGAAAGAAGAGACTAAAGACTATAATATTTCAGAATTATATGTAACTGGATCATTCACTATTGTTAAAAAATTAATCATATTCATCACTTTCCAAAGTAGGAGATTATAAACATAGCAGAGTGGGAGGTAGCTCAGTGGACAGTGCCTGGCAAGTACAAGGTCCTGAGTTCAATTCCCAGTACCAAAATAAATAAATAGTAAATAAACAAACAAACAAACAGAACAGAACTGAGCGTTTTTCTCTTTAGCTTATGAAGAAGCATGCTGGGACTTCATTTACAATATGAAACTTTCCTTCACTGGTCCACACTTCTTTTATTAAGTGCCTATGTAGTTTATTCTGTTTTCAAATTAGTATTTGAATCCACAAAAGCCAGAGGCAAAAGATGTACAAGCTTTCGAAACAAAAGAAGACAATCAACAAGAACTACAAATTATTTACTCTCTTTTTAATAGGACTATCTCAGTTAATGGAGCACAGCTCTGGCATAAATAGTCCTAATTGGATATAATGCCTTTTTTTAAAAAATATAGCTATTCCCTGGCTGTGAAAGAGAAATTAGTACTTGTGTTTGGCAAAAGGAAGCAGGTAGCTCAAACCAAGGAGTGAAACCCTGACCTGTGTGACAGTGAGATGCTGCCTCCTTCCACACCTTGCAGATACTTTTCATTTTTTCTCCTCACTCAAGGTAAATTGGAGGTAACTTCCTTCAGTTCGGTGCAGTGCAACTGAAGTTCTGGGGATTCCTGAAAACTCACAGTCTCACAATATCCCGGTTCCTTACGCAGCCTTTCCGCATGCAGAAGGAGGAAAACAAACTTCTTTAAAGATACAGGACGTGATTGAAAAGCGCAGTGAACGTCCACCTTTTCCGAACTTATTAAATTAGATGACACAGTACCACGAACTCCCCTCATCTTGCTCTCCCTCGACTCAATACACTTATCCCACCATTCTTGCCACTTTCGTGACTGCTTCATTGTGCTGCTGCAGTTGCCTCAATGTTCTGGATCATTCAGAACACTTACCTTTCCTGTCATTTTGAGTTTGGGGAAAAAATAGAAGTTACACAGCGCCAGACCCAATGAATAAGGTGGCTGAGGACGCACTGGACACACCTTAACGCTTTAAAAAGCTTGCCTTTCAGTGAGATGGGTTCCAGCAGCCAATATTTTTGCTCACAGCTCGTGAAGACATTCACAAAAGAGTACTTCCAGAGCTGCTTCAGAAAGCGGCAAGAGCAGTGAGACAAGTATGCTCGAAGTGAGGCAACTATTTTGAGGGGGATTAATGGCGATGTGTTTTTTACTGTGATACATTTTGTAGTTATACATTCACCATATATTTTTATCACAACTCATATATATATATAGATATAAAGATATAAATATATAGATATATAAAAACAACTACTTTATACTAAAAATCGAAAACAAATCCCAGCATTGCCTGGACATCTTGCCTTTCAGACTCGCATTTCTCAACACTAGCTTTCTCTCTCCTGACATTCAAAGTCATAATCACTTTTTTTTTTTGAGACAGGGTCTCACTATGCAGTTCACTTGAGCTCACTTATGTAGTGTATGCTTGTCTCACACTTGCAACGATCCTCCTGTCTCAGCCTCCCGAGTGCTGGGATTACAGGTGTGCACCACCACACCTGACCAAAAATCACTTATTGACTAGCCATTATTTTCCAGATATTGGGAAATTCTATAGGGTAAGAATTATTACCTCTGTTTAATAGATAAGGAACTAAGGTTGGGTGTGGTAGTGCACACCTGTAATTTTAGAACTGGGAGGTTGAGGCAGGAGGATCACTGCAAGTTTGAGACCAGCCTGGGCTACAAAGTGAATTCAAAGCCAGCCTGAACTGCATAACAAAACCTTGTCTCAAAAAGATATTAAAAAAAGAAATGAAGACTTAGCAATGCCCAATATTGTCCAGCTAGTCAAGTAGTGGAACTATGTTATAAGTCCAGGTCTTAGTGATTTAAAACCTTTGCTTTCCATTATACTACTACTTGAGCGATTATACAAGAAGAAAAATGGCAAAGAAAAAAAAAAAAGAGCACATTTTAATAAGCAGAAGTAGTGGTTACATTAAATCACTACTATTTTAGTTCTCCTTCTAGCCCCTTTATACTTTTGCAGGTCCAGAAATAAACTACGAAAGTTGGGTATCCTTGTAGTTGCTTTTTATATTTTGTTATTACCTTATATACGATGCTATGGGTATTTTCATAGTCTTTTCAGTAGTCACCATCCGTCACTTCTCTGGTTGTAGGAATTAACTTCCTGTATGTGGCAACTCATGAACTTGGCCATTCTCTGGGCCTGAGTCACTCCGCCAACCCTGACGCCGTGATGTACCCAACATACGGAAACGGAGACTTTCGAAGCTTCAGACTTGCGTGGGATGACATTGAAGGCATTCAGGAATTATACGGTAACGTTTATGATTTCAAGTGAGAAAGATTTCACATTTTCTCACTGAATAGGTTTGAGAGAGGCTGGGAAATGGGTATTTACCTGGAAAGCCACAGTGGAACTTACATCCAAAACCCTATGCAGGAGAGAAGTTAGACCTTCAGTACTCAATTTAATGAGGCTATTTTATGAGTACAAAGTTATACTCATTTTAAGTTTTAAGCTTCAGCAACACTCTATTGTGTGTGAAATCAAGAAAATGGCATTGTCAAGCCATTCTCTCTCTTTTTTTTTTTTTTTTCTTTTTGTCTGTTTGAGACAGTCTTGCTATGCAGTTCAGGCTGGCCTTGAGCTCACTTTGTAGCCCAGGTTGGCCTTGAACTCACAACGATCCTCCTGCCTCAGCCTCCCCAGTGCTGGGATTACAGGCGTGTCCCACCACGCCCAGCTTGTCAAGTCATTCTCAAGCGGCCACCCACTGTTCTTGCTTGATCAGCTCAGAGACTTTCGGAGAGCATCCCCTTCTGGGAATGAACTGAAGGAACCGAACCCCAGCCCCCATCACTGCCCACGCCCAAGGATTTGCCCTGATGATTGAAAGGGACCCAGTTTTTCCGGCTTACATATACATGTGGGGAAAGTGGCTAAGGATGGACAGCCACTGCTATGATTGCTGGTCATAGCACTTACGAACAGCTCCTACCCCGCTCTACACTTGCTTGTTGTAAGTTTCACATTCATGGCTGGGCATGGTGGTGCACGCCTGTAATGCCAGCACTAGGGAGGCTGAGGCAGGAGGATCATTGCAAGTTCGAGACCACCCTGAGCTACGAAGTGAGCTCAAGGCCAGCCTGAACTGCATAGTGAAACCCTGTCTCAAAAAGACAAAAAAAAAAAAAAAAAACCACCAAAATACCAGAAATTATATATGAATATATGCATATAAAATAAGAAATAACTGCAAAAAGATCACAGAAAAGTCTTTGATCAAATGTAAGTGTTTCCACACAACAGATTACTGTCCTGAGGGAAAATGGATTGCTATGGGAAAATGGATTTCACCTATATCAGCTAAACTCAGGATATACTATAAATCTGTCTTCCCCAAACCTTGTTCCTAGAATCCTAGTCCTACACGATGATTCCCCCAAAAGAATGCTGTAGAGAAATAACTTCAAGATACACTACCCACTATGTTTCAGATGCATAAGATATTAGGGAATGCTAAACAAGCACTGTGGAACTCAGTGTTTTCTAAATGATAACCAGTTCTGTGGAATACCATTGAAATCACACAAAATAACTCTTTAGACAACTCACTCTGGAAAGTTCTATGTAACTGGACCCTAGAGATCCTACATAAAGAGCTGCTACACCCGGAAGACTCACAAAATAATGACTGTTGTTGGGGAAGTTAGCCCCATCAAAGCAGAATATCCTACCCTGACCTTATATAAAGGTGACAAACTCATAGAATATTCTGTGGCATTCTATACCTATTTTAGAACCTTGAGAAAAATACAAAAGGATTAAAAAAGATCTGAGGCAATGTGATTAAGTTTGAGAGGAAGAAAACTGACTGGAGTGTTAAATCCTTAAGTATTACAGAAAGAGGCACCCTTAGTCCAGATTGGAAACAAGAAATCCTTGGAGAAATGAAAGTAAGACATAATTATGTAATTTATACATGTAGAGAGTTCATTAATCCAAAAGTAATAAGCCTTGCGTGCATGAGGCCTGGATCCCCAATACCGCTAAAAAATGACCAAAAAATACAGATTCAAAAAAATAGAAACGATGGACTCAAGACTGCTGGTGTCATATTCAGAATAATAAAAACAATAGTTAAGGGGCTGGGGATTTAGCTCAGC